TTTAACCTAGAATGAGAATATCTGCCTAGGTTGATAGAGCATCCTTGATTGAAGGTAGGGAGTTGGTGACTTTAGTCGAGGAGCCATCTCACTATTCTGTACCGGATTTACTCCGGTAGTGGAGGTTTTGTTTGTTAAGGCCTCAATCTGTTTACTCCGGTGGAGGTTAGTCGCCCGCTAGAGACTCGGATTGAGAGGGTCTGAAGACCTTTAGTCGAGACTTCAGGATGTTTAAGAACCTTCCGCAGTATAACTATCATAGAAACTGAACTTAGTAATTGCAATCCGGCTTAACTGCAGTCTAGGGGGAACCATATCCGGGTGACCTCTCTTAACCTGAATACCACAGTTTACTTGCTTTGTTAGTTTGTTAGTTTAAACCTGCATTAAAGTTTCATTGCTAGATAACAAGAATTCACTGAGTAGTCATCAAATCTAGGACCCAGGTTGACATTTAAACCTAAACCCGCTATACTACGCTCTAGGAAGTGGTTTCACTTGGCCAATTCCTGGAGTGACAGTAGAAGTGAGTCAAGTTTTTGGCGCCGTTGCCGGGGGACGGCTAGGTTGTTGAAGAAAAGTGATTTATGTTAATTTAGCTTTTCTTTTTGCTTTGTTTGCTTTGTCCCACTTGTGCCTTCACGGGTTTGCTTGCTTGAGTGTATGCAGGTAGTGCATGACCCGTAGCCAGTCAGGAGGTTTACTGCCGTTGAATCCAGAGATTGATCGCACCTGTCGCCAGCTCAGGAGACAACAACGAGCTAGACTAGCTACGGAAGAGCACGGGATGGACGGAGACTACAATCAACACCAGGGGAATCCGCAGCAGGTTCCCCCGGTAAATCAGGCCCTGGGGAACAACCCCATACCCCAGGATCATGGGGTTCATCATCCACCCCAGTCGGGTCTCACCTTGGAGTACTACTACACTCCTCGGATTGCTGACATCCGCCCGGTCATCCTCTACCCGCCTATTCCAGCAAATAACTTCGAGATCAAGCCATGCTGGATTCAGCTCATTACATCCTCTATCCAGTTCCATGGCTTGAAGGATGAGGAGGCCAGGGTGCATCTTTCCCGTTTTCTGCAACTGACGAACGGGTTCAAGCTGAATGGTGTCCCGGATGATGCAATCCGCCTTCATCTCTTCCCCCATTCTCTGGCGGGGAATGCTAAGAGGTGGTTGGAGACCCAGCCCCCATTGTCCATCACCTCTTGGGACGATCTGGCTGACAAATTCGTGCACAGATACTATCCGGCATCGAAGACTACAGAGATCCAGCGGGAGATCACTCACTTCCGCCAAGAGCCAGATGAGTCACGTCGTGATGCATGGGAGCGATACATGGGTTATTTCTGGTAGTGTCCTCATCATGGCTTCAGTGATGCATTCACAGTGGGGAACTTCTACAGTGCTCTCTCTCCAGACAGCCAGAGGGTGATTGAGTCTCTATGCAGGAGGGGATGTTCTCACTAAGACTCCACCCGAGCTGAACTAGATGATCAATACTTTGGCTGCCAGAGATCATTCCTGGGGGCAGAGCAGCCGAGGCAGACATTCCCGGGACCGTGGTGTGCACGCCATGGAGACCAGATCCGAGCTCGAGCAGCAGGTAGCTGAGCTAGTGCAGATATTGAAGCAGCCCAACAGTCTTATTCCGGGCAGAGGTTTGGCTACAGCTCCAGTTGCTCAATTTCAGTGGTGTGAGAGCTCGAATCACTTAGTGGAAGACTGCCAGGCTATGAGGGAGTCTACTACTCCCCAAGAGCAGTTGGACTTCATCGCCAATGCTCGGCGCCTCGACCCGTACAGCAACACATATAATGAGGGGTGGCACCAGCATCCCAACTTCTCTTGGGGCAGCAACACCACTAAGCCACCTGGTTTCCCAGCACCAGCTGGTGGCTTTCAGCAGAGGCAGCCCTTCCAGGCTCGACAGGGGCCAGCCCCGCAGCAGCCCTACCAGCCTAGGCAAGGGCAACCATTCCAGCAGCCCCAGCGCCAGTTCGCCGAGCCAGCAGCAGCTCCAGCCCCAGATGACCGGATGACAAAGCTGGAAAATATTCTAGCTTCATTCATGACTACACTCAGGCTGCTATCACATCACTGGAGACAGGTAAGCGGAACCAGGGTGCCATTTTGCAAGATCTGCAGACCCAGGTGGGCATCTTGGCCCGCCAAAACACTACCAGGGCACCGGGGACTCTGCCTGCCACCACTATCCCGAATCCTCGAGATCCTCACCAGCTCCAGCAGCTGGATGCCATTTTTACCAGGAGCGGTAAGACCATATCTGCTGATCCTGTCCCGGCCAGATAGGAGGAACCACTACCTGCTTCAGCACTTCCAGCCAACGAGGCAGAAGTGGGGGTGGAGAAGGAAGCCCCTGCTCCCAAGCCACAACCAGTGGTTAAGGAGCATGTACCCCAGCTTCCCTTCCCCACTCGCCTACACAAAGACAAGTTGGAGACTGAGTTTGCCAAGTTTATGGCAATGTTGAAGCAGCTCAACATCAGCATACCGTTCGTGGAGGCACTGTCAAAGATGCCCAAGTATGCCAAGTTCATGAAAGATCTCCTCACCAACAAGAAGAAACTTGGGGATCTCTCGACAGTGTTGTTGAGCGAGGAATGTTCTGCTATCCTGCAGAACAAGCTGCCCGAAAAGCGCAAGGATCCAGGGAGTTTTACTATCCCTCTTACTATTGGCAGCATGCATGTAGGCAAGTCATTGGCGGACCTAGGCGCTAGCATAAATGTCATGCCATATAAGTTGTATAAAAAGCTAGACCTAGGTGAACTTAGCCCTACTAGGATGAGCATTCAGCTGGTTGATCGTTCCATTGTGCATCCTAGGGGAATCATAGAGGATCTGCTTGTCAGTGTCGGTGCATTCACATATCCTGTTGATTTTGTTATTCTTGATATACATGAGGATGTGGATGTACCTTTGATTCTGGGTAGACCATTTCTTGCCACCGCCAAGGCACTTATTGATGTGCATGATGGTAAACTGATCTTGCGTGCTGGGAATGAACAGGCTACTTTTTCTCTGACTGAATTTGATCACTGTGCTATGATTGCTGTCACGCCTGTACATGCCATTTCTGATCAGATACACGAGCCTGTCGTGTATCCTTCTGCACCTCTTATTTTGCAGGACCCTCCTATCATTCCTTCGCCGCCACTCCATCCAGCCTCGCCTCTGAACAAAAAGCTCAAGGAGGAGTGGCGGCCGAAGCAGCAGGTTGCTAAGCCTGCACGGAAGAAGGGTGGAGACCACTATGAGCTGGTCCCACCTCCTGCACCATGACCACCCTTGCCGTCCGGGTACTCACTCGCCTGCATCTTACCGGATGGCCAGGTCGAGCTGACTGATGATGGTGGTCACATCCGTCGGGTGCATGGCCACAACCTTAAGCTGTACCTCAAGAGCGACGGGGATCCGCTCTTGGAGGCACCTGTTCCTGCACCTCCCTGAGTATCCACCATGGGCGTCCAGCTAAAAGACGGTAAAGAAGCGCTTGTGGGGAGGCAACCCCACCATGGTTTGATTTTCTTTCTTGTGTTTTGAGTCGGATTGTAAACCAGTTGGTTTTGGTTTGTTTTCTTTTGTTTTGGATGATGTTTTATTGGGCTGACCATTGGACCTAACATATTGTGTTTGAGCTCTTTGGTTTCCTTTGGCTGTGCTTGTCTTGACTGGTCCTCTCTCCAGTCTGCTTCACTCCGACTGGTCTGCTTCCAGTCCCCTGCAGTCCGTGCATACCGATAACATCGTTCCCCTTTCCCTTCCCTCTGCTCCATTGAGGGCAATGTCGATCTTAAGTGTGGGGGGATGTTTATCTTTTGACTGCATTAGATCTGTTTGTGTGCTTGGAGCCTAGTCCACTGTCCAAATTTTTAAATTTGAGGGCTCCAAGTACGTGTTCCTTGCAATTGCCTGCTCAGTATGCTTTGAATTGACAGTCTCTATAGTAATGTGAAACCTAGGGAGGTAGTGTAGCACTATGGAGGATGTTGATGCATTTAAGAAGTCTCATTTCTTCTTCATATTGTGTTGGTTGATTGAGTGAACTAGTGATCTTAAGACCCTTGAATTGTGTGGTGTTGTGGATTCTCTACCTGTCATGGACTCTTGTTTCATGTTTTGATTTTAACAGGTGCTCGAAAATGTGCTTCAAAATAACGGCTCCCGTGCGAATAGGGCGAAAGTGTGTAAGGGGAGACGGGAATCCGTTCCCAATTTCCACCTACTATCTCCAGTCTCCTTACATGTCTTTCCCCCGCACGAGGAGCCATCTCACTATTCTGTACCGGATTTACTCCGGTAGTGGAGGTTTTGTTTGTTAAGGCCTCAATCTGTTTACTCCGGTGGAGGTTAGTCGCCCGCTAGAGACTCAGATTGAGAGGGTCTGAAGACCTTTAGTCGAGACTTCAGGCTGTTTAAGAACCTTCCGCAGTATAACTATCATAGAAACTGAACTTGGTAATTGCAATCCGGCTTAACTGCAGTCTAGGGGGGACCATATCCGGGTGACCTCTCTTAACCTGAATACAACAGTTTACTTGCTTTGTTAGTTTGTTAGTTTAAACCTGCATTAAAGTTTCATTGCTAGATAACAAGAATTCACTGAGTAGTCATCAAATGTAGGACCCGGGTTGACATTTAAACCTAAACCCGCTATACTACGCTCTAGGAAGTGGTTTCACTTGGCCAATTCCTGGAGTGACAGTAGAAGTGAGTCACATTCTCTAGTCAAATTACGACCACAAAAGAAGACCCTGGACTGAAGCTTTGAACAATTCTAGGATGTACCTGTTGAACATAATTGGTGTGCATGACTACGAGAATGCTGAAGAGAGTGACGGCAAAGAACAAATAGACATACTCCAAAGTAGCCCTCACTTTGACGGTTAAAACCAGCAAAAATCGCTCTTGTAATCTTATAAAAGTCTATTCCGGATCCATGCTCCCTTCACTGTTAACCGCAAATTGAATGGAAGTTAGGGCAGGGAAATCGCCGCCGGGAAGCTCGCCCGACTGTTTTCAATTATCTGATCATAGCGGGGAGCTCCAAGGACTGAAGCTTGGAAACCTCAGTCCCTTACGACTCTGCCCGAAGCTGATCGGTGCCGCCCCAGCCTTCGTGTTGCAGCAGAGAGGGATGAGAAGCGCCGAATCCAAGGGTGCAAGGTGTAGGGAGTGCTGAACGGCGTCCTGGTTTATTTATGGTCGTGGCTGGAATAGCTGCTCGTTGCCCCGTTTCCTCGCCGGTAGTCGGCCATGGAAAAGGAAAGTTGAGTTTAGATTTGGATTTGAATTGAAAGAATGTCGACGGAAGTTGGAAGCGAGAAGGCAGAAGCAATACGCTGTCGTCTTGACTCTTGACAGACCGAAGTGACGGAGCATGGAATCGTCATGCCGGTTTCATGACTGACACTGACACTACTGATATCACTGGAATTATCGATTTATGAACTCAAAGTAAAATGAAAGTCAATTTAGAAAATTTGATTGAAAAGTGCTCGTACCAAATAACAATAAAACTCTCAATTAGGGCCCAAGTATAAACCTTAATTGGGTGCAATATAGGACAAATATGTTTAAATATCAATCGGGGACCGGTCCATGTAAATATTATCTAGTGATTGGTTTGGTTTTGACTCTTAAATGAGAAGGATTCACCTGGGTGTAGCTCCCCCTAACTTGCTACCATGGCTTGTCGGAATTATTGAAAATATATGTTGGAGGTGATTGAGAACCGTAAGGGAAGTGTAGCTAGTGATGGAACATCACTCTCTCGGTCTCTAGGACAAGGAATTCGGATTAAGCTACCAAGGTAGCTCTCGAATCGGAATTCGGACAGCCAAAACACAATCAACCTAGGTGCCAACACAAACAAGGAGGGATGCCCTACATTAACCTAGATAGGAGACATGATTTACCTAACAAAACCCACATTTACAAGCCTCTTTAACAAAAGAGGGGGTTTTATCTCTACCTAGGTTAGACTGACAAATAGATTGAAAGGCAAACACACAACACAATCTTCCATGAAGATACCTCCAAATTCGTATTAAAACACACCCACACATAGACAATCATTCCATAAAATCAATCAGATGGTAGAAGTTAGGGTTCACAAGCACCCAAGTGGAAAGGGAAACTACTCCATGCTAGGAGAGTGAAAAACACAAGGAGAAAGAAGAAAAACCATCATGGAGATGCTTGAATCCTTCCTTGTATACAAGAGATCTTCCTTTGGGGAAGATTTTTTCAAATGCTTGCCTTGGAGTGAAACCCTAGCTTCTTCTTTCTTCTTGCTTGTCACTTTCTCTCTCTATAAGGTTGAAGAAGAAGGTTTTCTCACTCAAGGTCTCCTCTTCATTTTTTCTTCAGCTCAAGCCTCCTTTTATACCCAGGTTGGGTTCAAATCACCGTCCCAGTTCACGGTCTTTGGCTTGGATTCATGGTCTTACGATCGTGAACTGACTTAAGTCCAGTGAGACCCAAAATGGCGTTGGACGCCTGACGGTTCATGGTCTCCCTGACCGTGAACTCACTGCTTCCACCGTGATATGCTACTGCCTCCATCCTTTTACCTGATTTTGCGCATTTTCGTCCAACTTTCAACTTCGGGGTTGGTTCCACCTGTTATAGACTAAAATGCACAAAAACGAGACAAAACCCAAAGTAAAACCAAACCTCACGGAGTATAAATGCCTCAAATGACTAAGGAAACCGGGGTATAAAGTGTACAATTAAGCCCAAATCACTCCCCCCACACTTAGACGTTTGCTTGTCCCCAAGCAAACCATTTTAGACCAAGGTGATATCTCAACCTAACAAAATAACTTGGGGATAAATCAAAAGGCACAAAGTGGTGAATCCCAATGGCTATTGGGTATCAAAACATGAACCGCCACAAGCAATATCGGCATCCACCACAAATGACATTCGAATGCAATTCACTAATCTCTAATTTATGCATATACTTCGTCATACCTATCTTCTATCGTATCTTGAGTAAAATGAAAAGTTCTCACCCTGTTCACAAATCAATGCAAGTCCTGACAAGACCACTCACCAACCATAATTAATTTTTTCATAGAGTTCAAGTCCAAGGCACAAACGACGGGGCAACATAGGTCCTTACTAGGATAAAGTATGATCATGCAATATGTGAATGAATCACTCACTCTCGACCAGTGGGGTCAGGACCTTTTGGTGCAAAAGATGTGCACGACCATCAACACTCAGCCATATCGTCTCTCCACCACGGCGGCAACCTCAAAATGCTAGAGTTCATGGGATGATTGCTATCACTAGCTTGTTCGAAGGTCTTAGACACGGGTTCAAATGACTGGCAATTCTCTTGGACATGGGGAAAAGGTCTTTTGGGTGGTGGCAAACATAACATGAGGTCCTACAACTTCAACCCAAAACCAAAGGTTCCAAGGTTTCGACAAGAACCTTTCCTACAATCAACGGCCACTAGCATCGACCGAAAACCTCACTTTCCTTCTTACAAACCACTACCAATCACGAACTTCATTCAAGCACACTTCCTCGGTCTATTCTTGCTATCCCCAATTTCATCATAATAGTGAAGGAGGTCATCAAACAATTTAGGCGTTTCAATGGCTTGAGTGCCAAGAAATCCTTCCTAGAGCATACACTTAGACTTTTGTGGTCATTCTCCGCTTTTATTTACCCCGTTTTATTACCTCTTTCTCGTTTCTTTTCTTTCTATTGCTCTTTCTTTCTTTTTCTCTTTTTTTTTCTAAGGGGGTTACTAGAGAGTAAAACCCATGCCACTTATCCTTTAACGAACAATGCTCTCTATAAAGAACTTTCCTCCAACACTACCTTTCCATTCCTAGCAAGAACCGTGCAAAACCACCTACGTAGAACCTCAATGGAGCTCAAAAGCGAGAACTCCGAGACACAAAGATGACTCACACTTTGACACGAAGAAAGGATGGGGGTCGTTCTTTCAATCACCATTAAGTTTAACAAGCTCAATGCTCCTAACATTAGAACGACCCCTAAAGTAACACGACTAAAAGGGGTTAACTAATGGATAAAATGTTTCTAGACAATCAACTTTTGGGCGTGGACTAATCCTATGCCTCCATCATACTCACTAGTGACAACGGTGAATGTTACACACCAAGGCGAGAGGGATATATCACACATGAAAAAGACGTTCGACACAAATCTCACAAGGCTACCTAGTCACCCAATCGTCTATTCCAATTTCATTAACTTCTATGCAAGGCAATTGTGATCAAAGAGTAACCAAGTCAAGACATCCATTCATTTAAGCAAACATGAGAAGTAAGCTTTTGAACACACCTAATGCAACTCTCAGTCATCATAATATGATGCACTCGATCACATGCAACAATTCAAGGTCAATGCCAAATAAACACGAGATTCACTCATAAACCGACCATTTCGATCATGCATTGCTTGGAGCCCTCAAAATTTTCAAATTTGGGCATACATCAAGGCTCCAAGCACTTAATCACACACACGAGCATAATAATAAACTACCACTCCCACACTTAAGTTCGACATTGCCCTCAATGGCGTAAAATTGGGGTAGAATGATGTTATCGCATGGCTTGGTGAATGAAAGTTGGACAATTTTCTGGGGTAGGAGGTTTGAGCTTCAAAGAGAAGACAAAAGAAAACACAAACGCACGCACATTCTCGCTCGAGGCGAGGTTATTACACATAACAATAGTCGACATCACGATTTAAAGAAAGAAAAACTCACAAAGTACTAGTTCACACACTAAAGAAAATAAAATAACAGAGTTTAGAGTTTCAAGTGGAGAAGTGGGACGAAAGAAATCGGCTATGCCACATGTCTCTCTTGTCGGCTACCTCTCTTGGATCAAAAGTCACTACTCGTCGTCCGAAAGGACACACTGGCGTCGAGCAATCCTCTCTAGGAGGTCGATGAATCGGTCGAGCCAGGTGTTGACTCCAACAAACTGATCCTCAAGGCAATCCACACGCTGCTCGAGGTGGGCTCTAGAAGAGCAAGGGCCAGCTCTGGATGATAATTCTACTGATGGTGGTGGTGCGGTACGCCGGTGGTGGCTTCGAGCTCGAGTAGGTGGCTGCTCGGGTGGAGGGACCTCTAGATATGGCTCCACTAGAGCAGGGTCGACCTGTGGCCTTAGAGAGGCCGAAGGTTGAAGTCCCTCGAGGTACTCAATCCCTTGCTCTCCCTGGAGCAAAAGTTTCCTGTTGTAGAGTGTCTCCACCAAGAATGGCTCGGTCCAGTCGATGATGGATCATCTCGTCACATCAACCTCGAAGTGTTGGGAAAGCCTCGCGATGATCCCCCCCCCAGTGCATCGTATCCACTCGATCACGCCCCTGGCATCTGACAATGGTGGTAGCAACCACATATACCATATGGAGTGGTTCAGCTGGGTAGTCCTCATGACTCAGACGTGGACAAATTCATAAAAGCAAAAATCCCTCTAGACAACTTGTTCCACACTCATTGTACAATTGAGGGTAAGCTAATGTCCGAAGTAATCGATGGGGGATATGTACGAATGAAGTTAGCTTGGATGCTATCAATAAGCTCGGGCTAGGTACAATTGATTCGGGTCCAATTGTACCCATTTTACCCCTCATTTCTTGATAGTTTGGCTTTGCATTTCATCGTACCTCGACATATTTCATGCTAGGTTGTGCTTGTTTTGATACATTTCAGGTCCTAGCACATGTGGAAGGGTCGGGGAAGAGTTTCGGGACGATTGGAGGTCAAAAAGTGCAAAAACCGAAGAAAAGCCCAAAGACCGTGACAATTGCCCCGTAATAGTGAAGCGCAGGCGTCCAGGAACAAACCGCAGTTCGCGGTCAGAGCTACAATTTCACAGTTTCCGGGACCGTGAACTGAAACCACAAACCGTGTCCAAGAGGGTTCTAGAGGTTTCTGACGACCAGGCAGTTCAGGGTCTCTAAGACCGTGAACTTTGAGTGCAAATCGTGAACCTAGATAGTGAAGCGGTTAAGGTGTTCATGGCCGTGAACAGAGGCCGTGAACTGGGCTCGACCTGGGTATAATTAAAATAGCAGTAGAAGGAAGAAGAAGGGAGAGCTGGTTTTTCGGAGAAGGAACACTTTCTTTCTCTAGGATTTCAACCCAAAACACCAACGGGGAGTTCTAGTGAGAGAGAG